AGCAGCGCATAGCGGGATGCGCTCCTCCACAATGGGCGCATTCATGCCGGAACCAACAGGATCTGAACCACTTACAGTGACTCTCATTAAAGAGCCAGCATATTCCTTTTTTCTGTGCTGGTCCAGGAAAAGGCGATGGCCTATACGGAGTCATCAGAAGCAGCCATCGACTACCATCCTACATGCTGGGGCTGGGTGACAACCGCGTCGGAGGCCTCGACCTCCTGGCCCTCCGACCTTATGAAGGGGATACTAGACATGTGCAATTCGTTTCGGTCCAAATGTGAATTCGGACGAATTTCGTCCAATTCGGTCATTCAGGTACTTCCGAATGTCCAAATAGATGAATTGCCAAATTGTCGAAGTTCCGGAATTTCCGAAGTTGCCGAAGTTCCAAAGCACAGTATTGCCTAAGAACTAATATACTTACCCAGTGGAAGAATGAAAAATGTTATACTGTATACAATTTTAAATAAAAAGTATACAAACATAGCCAGGATTCAGCTGTAAGCATTTGCAACACTTACAACAATCAAGTAACACACATTCATATAAAATGTAAGTTAATTGGCCAGTCAATGTAATGACAGGAATGAATAAGTAGATAACTCCCTAATTCCCACGGTATCAGGGAGTTATCTACTAAAAGGCTGAAAAACCTAAATTGGTCTTTTAGACAAATTTACTAAGTAAAGATTACTTAGTATTAGTACATTATGCCCCTACTCGCAATACCGTGAGTAGGGGCATGTCTATTAAACAGTCTGCTCACTGTTAAAAAAACAAGCGGTGGGGGCCCTAAATACTAATAAGAGGGGACCTAATGTCCTCCCCCCTGGCTCCCACCCCTGAGCGGTGGGTGGCGGCCCTAAATTAGAATAGGGGGAGACATAATGTCCTCCTCCTGGTCCCCACCCCTGAACGGTGGGTGAAGGCCCTAAATACTAATAAGGGGGGGACCTAATGTCCTCCCCCCTGGCCCCCACCCCTGAAAGGTGGGTGGGGGCCCTAAATTAAAATAGGGCGGGGACCTAATGTCCTCCCCCTGGCCTCCACCCCTGAGCGGTGGGTGGGGGCCCTAAATACTAATGGGGGGGACCTAATGTCCTCCCCCCTGGCCCCCACCCCTGAGCGGTGGGTGGGGGCCCTTAAATACTAATAAGGGGGGACCTAATGTCCTTCCCCATAGCCCCCACCCCTGAGCAGTTGGTGGGGGCCCTAGATTAGAATAAGGGGGGACATAATGTCCTCCCCCCTGGTCCCCACCCCTGAGTTGTGGGTGGGTGACGTAAATACTAATAAGGGGGGGGACCTAATGTCCTCCCCCTGGCGCCCACCCCTGAGTGGCGGGTGGGGGCCCTAAATAAAAAATTAACACACCCTCCCCCCAAAAAAACTAACCCCTACCTACCCCCCTCACCCTAAAACTAACCCCTACCTACCCCTATCATTTTACTTTAGGGCCCCCACCCGCCGCTCAGGGGTGGGGGCCAGGGGGAGGACATTAGGTCCCCCCCCTTATTCTAATTTAGGGCCCCCACCCCCTGCTCAGGGGTGGGGGCCGGGGGGAGGACATTAGGTCCCTCCCCAATTGGTAAATTGGGCAGTATGTACACCACTGGTCCTGCAAAAGAATGGGCCAATGTTTAGCCAAGCCCCCCTTTTTTTTTTCTTTTTTTTATTCTTTATTTTTGTTATGCAAAGAGGTTAACATACAGGCCCACAGTGCCTCAATAGCAGCAGCAGGCATAACAAGGCATTCAGTGTGATAACATAGAATTGAATTGCGCAGTTTTGCTAGGTAAACAAAATAATACCAGTCTTGCTATCAGATATGTAGGGTTAAGTAGTAATACATGGCTACAAATTTTGCAGTGACTTTTTCATTGTTCAAACTGGGATAATAATATCTTACTAACCACGAGATAATATAGGAAAAGATAATATAATAATATAGTAATATAATATAATAATAATGGTGTGTTGTTCAAGTAGTATCAATTTCTGGTTGGCCTGTAAACTGGCCTATGGTTGTGGATAGTCAGGTTGACCGTCTGGCATCATGCTTACATTTCGTGTGACTTGTGTGGTGCACTTTGGGCTAATACACTGTCACTTTAGCTATTCATGTAGGGTTTCATGGTGTGTGGCTGCTGGTCGCGGTCTCGGTAATTCCTCTCGTGGACACCGTCAGTATGCCCCCCATGCCTCAGATTAAGGGTCAAGGTTGTGATCTTAACGGGATCTGGTACCTGCGAGTATGACTGTGTGCTGGAAGGCAGGGTCTGTCCGAGCCTCAGCAACCACTACACTGAGGTGTTAGCCAAGCCCCTTTTGATCTTCCAATGGTCTTTATTATATCCAGTGAAAAAACTTAGTTGAAAATGTATTTCTTGTATGTTATCAGGTTTATCCATAAGTAACATATTCCTTTCCTTTTCTCTGGCTATTTTTATAGCGTTTTTCTTATAGCCCTTCTGTAAAAGTTTATTTTTGATATAATTAGCCTGTAAGTCATAATCCCGAGTGTTAGCGCAATTTCTTCTCACTCGGGGGAACTAGCTTCTTGCTATACCTCTAAGCCATGGCTTGTGATGGCAACTTCTACGATGCACGTAGCTGTTGCCATCAGTCGGTTTGAAAAAACAACGTGATCTAACCTATCTCTCTTCATTGAATAGAGTTATGTCTAAAACATTAATCATTTTTTTATTCCATTCAGGCGTAAATATTAAAATTAATTATACATTTTAAAATTGCTCCCCTACCTTTGTCCCTGGCCCCAATCTGCCCCACCTAAATTTGAACCCTGGAGACGCCCCTAGGGTGACACTCTTGTCTTACTTCAAGATTAACAAAATTTAACAGGATTTTCAAGGTAATGCGTTATAAACAGTTAACCACTAGATTGCGACAATTTACATTGCAGCACCATAGCACGGACAGAAATCATTGGAGCCCTCTGATAAACTTTACATCAATTGTAAAATGTGTAGATTCAAAAAAGCTTCTAGTGCAAAAATAAAGTGTATACACAAAAGGGAGTTCCCTAAACTTGTAGTTAAGGAGTTCCTTATAAACTGCAGTAGTTAAGGAGTTCTTAAAATAAAATTCCAGCTATGTAACTGGAGACAATGAAAACTGAGAAAGGATGGCATTTAAAACTGCAAAGAGGAAGGGTATTGAGAATTTAGAGAAAGGAAACGGAAATAACCAGTACTAGTAAGTTACTGTCAGCTGACAGGTCATTGTGACCAGACTCTGAAGATATTGATTATATTGATTGATTGGATGTTGATATTGATTGGATGTGGGGAGTGAAAGCATGGTCTCTGACCTGTGAGATATTGATAGAAAAAGTAGAAAAGATAAATTAATTCCAACTCCCCTCCCCCCCCCCGCATTAAAACCTATGGGGGGACATACTAATAAAAGGGAGGTTAAATTTAAATCCTCCCGCATGTCCCTACTCGCAGCATGCCGCGAGTAGGGGAATGTCGCCTAAACAGCGAGCACCCAGTGGCTGCTCGCTGTAATTTAAAACTTACTATAAATCAGTATGGGGGTCACTATGACCCCAATATTGATAAAAAAGGGAGGTTTAAATCCTCCTGCATGCCCCTACTCACGAAATGCCGCAAGTAGGGGCATGTCACTTAAACAAATGTAAAAGTACTAGTGCCTGCGCAGCTATTGCTGCCTAGTCACTAGTGCAATAAGGGGGGACCTGGCACAGGTGCCCTCATGGTGGGGAACACAAATACCTAAAATGGGGGGGACATAGTGCCCCCAACCGTGACCTGCGGGTGGTGGCTATTAATATAAACGGGGGGACCTAATGTTCTCCCTGGTTCCCACCCATGAGTGGCGGGTGGTGAGCCTAATAAATTAAAGGGGGGACCTTATGTTCCCCCTGGTTCCCACCCATGAGTGGCAGGCGGGGACCCTAAATAAATAAATAATGGGGGGACCTAATAACCCGCCTGATCCCCACCCATGAGCGGCTGGTGGGGACCCTAATTAATTAAAGCGGGGACCTAATGTTTATGACCAGCGGGTTGGGACCACAAATAATAAAGTGACTAGGGGTCCCCAAGCCCCTAGTCACTCCCCGTCAATAAAAATATCCTACCTACCCCCCTCACCCTAATAATAGTGAGGGGGGGCAATAAACTAAACCTGTAAAATAAAATTTCATACTTACCATTTGATGTCTTCTTTCTTTTTTTCTTTTCTCTCTTCACCCCCAAAATAAGCCCCCAAAAAATCCGAAATACATGTCGCAACTGTAAAAAAAAATAAAAAAATCCAGACGGTAAAAAAATAATCCATCTTCACCCATGGAGGGCAACGCTCAGAATGAGCTCCGCAGAGCGGGGAAACGCTTATAAAGCCTTCCCATGCCCTGCACTTAGGCTCAGAGCACTCTGATTGGTTGGTTTAAGCCAACCAACCAGAGTGCTCTGCCAGGTAAATGTAGAGATTGACAGATAAGTCTCTACATTTACCTGTCACAGGACTCTGATTGGTTGGCTTGAAATCCAACCAAACAGAGTGCTCTGTGTTATTTTACACAGCATGGGAAAGTTCTTTGCTAAGAGACACAGGCACAGGAAAATGAAAAAAACTGACCAGTTGCATCTGTATATCTGTGTTTTTCTATAGTTTGGAAAGTTGTGATTTTGTTATATATTTGAGGCATTACTATGTTGCTTGTTGTTCAAGTTATGATGTTTATATTTGTATGGATTTCACCACATATTTAAGCCCTTAAGGACACAGCTTCAGAAGCTTGTCTTATGCTTAATGATATAAGCAATGTTTGCATTTTTGTTGTTGTTTGTGTTCAACTGCAATTTACATTTTACTAATTTATTGCACTGACACATATTATATATAGTTTTTTTAAAGGACAGAAAGGGCTTTAATTTGATGTAACATATATATATATATATATATATATATATATATATGTATATCAATGCTTATTTATTATTTAAAAAATACAGAAAAATGCAAAAAAAAATAAAAATTTTTTCTTCCGTTTTTGCAATAATAATGTGTGCATAATTAGTGCAGTGTAGTGGTATTTATTAACCCCTTAATGACCGAGGACGGTTCAGGACCGTCATCGGCATTTTTGCGTTGCCGACCGGTGACGGTCCTGAACCGTCCTAACGGTGTAATGTACTTACCCGATCGCCATCATTCCCCCGGCAACGATCGGCGGTGCTCCCCGTGTGGGGAGACTGCCTGCAGCCCAGACAGTCTCCCCATGTCGGATTAGGAGCCCTGGGGCCATGTGATCGCTCAACAGAGCGATCACATGGTCACAATAGGTGTTCTAGTGTCTGCTGACAGGCAGTCTCCCTGCTAGTGTAAAATCATAAAAAATAATAATGGTACATGTTAATAAAAAAAATATAATTATATATGTGTATATATATATATATATATATATGATATATAGACATATATTATATTTATATAATATATGTCTATATATCATATATATAATGTCATACTAAGTGTATTTTTATATTAATATGTTCTTATATTAATATAAAAATACACTTATAATTAAATTACAGACGTATATATATAATATATATAGTAACTATATATATTGTATATATATATTATTATAAAATACAAATAATAAGTAAATTAAATTAAACATTTTAAAAATAATAATAAAAATTTAGAAAAAAATTATATATCTGTATGAAATTTTATTCTAACTGTATTTTGATATTAAAATATATATATTTATATCAAAATACACTTAGAATTAAATTGTATATATATCTATGTATATATAAATAAATAAAAATAATACGAAATATACATAAATAATTATATAAATATACACGTAGACATCAAATATATAAATATGCATATATATTTCAATTCTACGTGCATATTTATGTAATATTTTTACATAATTAAGTAATATTATTAATTGCAATTTGAGGGACCTGTCTGCCAACCCAAGCCAAAAGTCCAGAGAATTTAATTTTCTAGCACTGTATTTTACCCTGTAACGTTCTACGACACCCTAAAACCTGTACATGGGGGGTACTGTTTTACTCGGGAGACTTCGCTGAACACAAATATTAGTGATTCAAAACAGTAAAACATATCACAGCGATGATATTGTCAGTGAAAATGACCTTTTTTGCATTTTTCACACACAAACAGCACTTTTACTGATGATATAATTGTTGTGATACGTTTTCCTGTTTTGAAAAACTAATATTTGTGTTCAGCAAAGTCTCCCGAGTATAACAGTACCCCCCATGTACAGGTTTTATAGCGTTTTTGAAAGTTACAGGGTCAAATATATGGGTCAAATATTTTTACATTGAAAATGGCCAGGTTGGTTACGTTGCCTTTGAAAGCGTATTGTAGCCCAGGAATGAGAACTACCCCCATGATGGCATACCATTTGCAAAAGAATACAACCCAAGGTATTGCAAATGGGGTATGTCCAGTCTTTTTTAGTAGCCACTTATTTACAAACACTGGCCAAATTTAGTGTTCAATTTAGTTTTTTACTTTTTTCACACACAAACAAATATAAATGCTAACTTTGGCCAGTGTTTCCAACTAGGTGGCTACTAAAAAAGACTGGACATACCCCATATTGAATACCCTGTGTTGTCTACTTTAAAAAAAATATGTACATGTGGGGTGTTATTCAGACATTTTTGACATCACAGGCCAGCCTACTTAGGAATACACTGAATAAAAACCAGATGTAGGAGAAACTCTGTCTCTTTGCCTGTAATCGACTGAACCCAAGATGTAGTACCAGCTCTGACTCAAACCCAGCCAAAGGGCTGGGGCCTTGTAAGTAATATGAATCCATTGTTACATTTAGCAACCAATAGCCTTTTGTAAGTAATATGTTGTAGTTTTATATTGTATAATTATTGTGGTAAATTGACATTCTGCTAGCATCTGTTTATTTATTATAGTTATATTAAATATACATTTAATATTATAACGTTTTGTGTATTTTCTATCCACATATTCGACCATAATACCATGAACTATAAAAATATTAATGTTGTTCCGTATTGCTTAATTATTATGTATTAAGAGATTAATATTCATATTTAAGTCATGACCACAACATGCAGGTTAAGGAAAGTAATTAAAAATAAATTCATTTAGTTGTTCTGATTTACAGAATATATAATGTGTCTGGGATTTTAAGTTTTTTTTGGCAGTTACCGGTCACAAACCACAAGATGTAAAATAAACTTTTAATGTGGAGCGATTTTAGAATTTGGTATGTTTGTCTTGTAAGCTTAATAGCCATAAAAGAAAACAAAATTTCCACACAAAAGTATATATTTATATAAAGTAGACATCACGGGCTATTTACCTAAGGTTGTTTTGACACTTTCTACGTAGCCATTTCACCGCCAACCTCTGCTAAATATTGGAGTGAAATTTTTTTGTTTTTTTGTTTTTGGCACACAAACTTATAACAAAGAACTTCTCATGTGTATTTTGTAAAGTTGGTGTGTGCTATTCCTGTACAAAACTTTATTTTGTGTTCAGCTACATCTGCTGAGTACAATGATACCCCCATTGTATGTCTTTGGCACTATTTTGTGAAGCTACAGTGCCATATAGGATACCTGTCCTTTTCAGTATTTACAGTAGAATTTTGAGAGACTGATTTAATGGGCCTATGCTTCAATTTAGGTTATTATAGCAGTTTGACTGTTCAAAAAAAAACACACAAAGGCCTACCATTTGTAAAAGTAGACACTCCAGGCACTGGCGTACATACCAGGGTCGCAGGGGTCGCGACTGCGACCGGGCCCGGCCCACCAGGGGGCCCGGCCGCCCCTGCGACCCGGTATGTACGCCCAGGGCCAGCCTCTTCCCCTGGGGGGCCCAGGAGCCGACCACCCCAGGGCCCCCCCTGAGGCTGGCCCTGCTGACCCCGGGCGGCCGGTCGGGCAGGCAGGCGGGCGCGCGAGGGAGCACTCAGTGCCCAGGAGCCCCACTGGACCCCAAGAGGTAAGGAGGCTGGGGGGATTATATAAAAAAAAAAAATCATGTGTGAGTGTTAGTGTGTGTGAGTGTTAGAGTGAGTGTGAGTGTTAGTGTGTGTGTGAGTGTTAGAGTGAGTGTGAGTGTTAGTGTGTGTGTTAGTGTGTGTGAGTGTTAGAGTGAGTGTTAGTGTGTGAGTGTGTTTGTGAGTGTTAGAGTGAGTGTTAGTGAGTGTTAGTGTGTGTGAGTGTTAGTGTGTGTGAGTGTTAGTGTGTGTGAGTGTTAGAGTGAGTGTTAGAGTGAGTGTTAGAGTGAGTGTTAGTGTGTGTCTGCTAGTGAGTGTTAGTGTGTTAGTGTGTGTGTCTGCTAGTGAGTGTCAGTGAGTGTGTTACTGTGTGTGTCTTACTGAGTGTGTGTGTGTTAGTGAGTCTGTTTGATGTCTGTTAGTGAGTGTGTGTTTGTCAATGAGTGTATGTTTTGTAAGTGAGTGTGTATGTATGTCTGTCGCTGACTGTATCTCTGTCAGTAAATGTGTGTGTCTGTTAGCTAGTGTGTATGCGTCTGTAAGTGAGAGTGTGTGTGTCTTCAGCACTTACCTTTCTCCAGCGCCGGACTCCCTTGGTGCTGAGGATCCCTCAGCCTCTCAGCTCCGAATGCGACCGCGCACGCATTCAAACCGCCCATAGGAAAGCATTACTCAATGCTTTCCTATGGACGTTCAGTGTGCTCCTCTAGCGGCTGTCCGTGAGACAGCCACTAGAGGCTGGATTAACCCTCAGTGAAACATAGCAGTTTCTCTGAAACTGCTATGTTTTCAGCTGCAGGGTTAAAACTAGAGGGACCTGACACCCAGACAACTTCATTGAGCTGATGTGATCTGGGTGTCTGTAGTGGTCCTTTAAAGGACCACTATAGTGCCAGGAAAACATACTCGTTTTCCTGGCACTATAGTGCCCTGAGGGTGCCCCCACCCTCAGGGACCCCCTCCCGCCCGGCTCTGGAAAGGGGTAAAACTTACCTTTTTCCACCGCTGGGCGGAGAGCTCTCCTCCTCCGATCCTCCTCTTCTCCTCCCCGTCGGCTGTATGCGCACGCACGGCAAGAGCTGTGCACGCATTCAGCCGGTCACATAGGAAAGCATTCATAATGCTTTCCTATGGACGCTGGCGTGCTCTCACTGTGAAAATCACAGTGAGAAGCACGCAAGCGCCTCTAGCGGCTGTCAATGGGACAGCCACTAGAGGAAATAGGGGAAAGCTTAACCCATTCATAAACACAGCAGTTTCTCTGAAACTGCTATGTTTATGAAAAAATGTGTTAACCCTAGCTCGACCTGGCACCCAGACCACTTCATTAAGCTGAAGTGGTCTGGGTGCCTAGAGTGGTCCTTTAAGTGTGTGTGCATCTGCATGCTCTGGCGTACATACCGCGGTCGCAGGGGTCGCAGCCATGTAACCCCTGCGACCAGGTGCCCACCGCCATGTGTTGCGGCCCGGCCCGCGCGGGGGGCCCACGGATCAATTTTCGCACCGGGGCCCCATGGGTCATGTGTACGCCACTGACTCCAGGGTATCTCATATGGTGCATATTGTGCCTTAACATGCCCCCATTTCTTCACCAATACATGCCAAAGTATGTGGTAAAAAATTATTTTGGGCATTTTTTACATACGGATTACATTTTTGCTGTGCATTTTGTATATTTCATATTTGCCACTAAGTTCAAACCCCCCAAATTATGCTCAGCTAAGTCTTCTGAGTAAAACAATATGCCCAATGTATGACCTAGACACTATTTTGTGAAGTTACAGTGCTGTAAAAGAGACGTGACAAGTTCAGGTTTTTAAGTGTGAATTTTCATGGAGGGTTTTGATGCGTCCGTGTCCCACTTTGGAGCACTTGAGCAGTCTACATATTACAACTACACCATAAAAGCATACCATTTCTTAAAGAACACATGCCAGGGTATTTCAAAAGGCATAATTTGAACCATAGCGTGGGATAATTTTTCCGCTAGCTTGTACCAAGTGTAGTGGTGATAAGCGTTTTTTCTGCCTTTTTGACACACAAAGTGAGTTTGCACAGTATATTTTGCAAATCGTATGTGTGCTACGACTGTATAATACTTCATATGTTGCTCAGCTATGTTGGCTGAGTACAGCAATACCCCCTATGTACCTTTGCCAGGTATATGTGTACATCGGAGGGGCACATTTGAGACGCAGCCATTCAATTTTTTTCTAAATTTGAAGTTTTACGCTGTGTCCATGTTCCATTTTGGAGTAGTTTAGATGGTTGGTTATTGAAACTTCCCCACAAACACATACTATTTATTAAAGAATACACACTGGGGTAATTCAAAAGGTGTATTTTGAACCTTTGCGTGGGATCATTTTTTCTCTCGTTTGTTTCAGGTGTAATGAGCATTTTTAAATGTTTTGTTTTACTTTTTTAAACTTTTTTTACTTTTCAAAACTAGTTTTCAAACAATTTTTTTGCTTATTAATTTTTTTAAACTTTCCTAAACTTTCTTAAAACTTTTTTTTACAGATTTAACATTTGTATAAGCTTTTTTTTTTACCGTTAACCACTAACAAGCAGTTAGCAGCACTAACGGTAAATTCCCCAGTTTCCCATAACTCCCACCCACCCCAGCTAGCAAAATATATCATTTTAAAATATTTAAATTAATTAAATAAATTGAGCCCCTGAGGGTAAAAAAAAAAAAAAAAACAAGTTAACCCTAAAGGGTTAAAAAAACTAAACGGATCACAGTATAATACTGTGATCTGTATTTTGATCACTGTAGGTAATGATCAACTGGCAGGGAAGTACATTTTTATTAGGACTGGGTAAAGGATGGTGGGATTTTTTTTACTTTTTAAAAAAAATGTTATTAAAACTTTTTAAAACTTTTTTTAATGTTAACCCCTAGCTAGCCTAACACCAAATTCCCCAATTCCCCACTAACTTCCACCCACCCCAGCTAGCTAAACATACCATTTTAATATTTTTAAATTATTTAATAAAATAAAATTAACCCCTGAGGGTTACAAAAAATAAAAGTTATTTAAAAGGGGTAAAGGGGGGTGGGATTTTAATTTAACGTAAATTTTTTTTACACAGGGAGAAGTTCACTGCTGATCCATCTCCCTGCACTTCAAACAAAGCCCGGAAGTGCAGGGAAACGGATGGTAAGTCCCTGCAGCACATGTGCGCGCTCTGACAGCCTGTCAGAGCGAGCACTGCTGCAGGGGCAGCGCGATCCGGTGCTCCCGGTCTGCCTCTAATACAGAGGCAGACCGGAGCACCGTTAACCCCGTGATCACTGCGATCTGGGGTTAATTTTAACGCGGCGTTAAGGGTCTCCCCAGGATGTCTTGAAGGGGTTAAGGACAAGTCTCCAAAATTCTTGTCCAAAATAAGCAAGTGTGTGTTAGTATTATTGGAAACTGTGTGTCCTATGTGGTTTGTTTAGGGATCCCAGTAACAGAGTTTTCAGACCTGCAGCTGTCTGCAATGGTCTCTGATCCCTGGGGTATTCGATTTCATGCATTTATACGGCTAGTTTGGGCTATGATTGATTAGTGACTAGGTGGGTGGTTGGATGATAAGTTGGACAGAGCTGGGAGAGGGTGTATGTGTGTGGGGTTGTATGTTTGTGGAAAACTGTTTGTAGGTTGCATGTCTGGGGGTGGCTGCTTGTTGTTCTGCATCTGGAGCTTTAGTATGGTAATAGGGGCCTTGGTGGGTGGTAGGAACTGTACTGGGGAAAAACTGCCTATAGTGGCAGGATTATTGTGACAAAACTGTATACTTTATTCCCCAAGTTACTTTCTCTTCATTCGGTAGATAAATCTACCGAACACCGACCACCCCCCTGGCTCATTAAGATCAAAGAAACCACAGACTTAAGTGCTCTCCCAGTGTGGCCGCCGTTCGTATAAACTGAACAACACGTGCTGGAGAAAACAGTGGTCATCTTGTCGCTCGAAAGCAGGCAGTGGTTGTCAAGTGTCTGGAACTCTAAGTCAGACACTCGACCTCGTGAACACTGACCAAACTTCACGAACGCCTGCTTCTTTCCACAACAAGTCAATAGAACGCTGTTCGGTAGGTTTGCTCGCATGAACAAGGCGAACAAACGCTACCTGTGAGCCAGGGGAACAGTTCCCCGTCCAAAAAACATTTTGGAACTCCCGAAATTGACCTAGCGCTACCTCTGATTCTGTGGAACTAATTTGGGCAGGCGCCTCATGTACGGTCGGTCAAAACTTTACACCGGTGGCGATTCGGCTGTGTTAGTGGAATCTGAGCACTATTTGGACAACTTGGGCGCTCAGATCCAGGCTATCCAGGGATATAAAATTTGTGGGGGTTTCTATGTGTATTTTTTTTTGAAACTTTAAGTTTTATTGAAATTTCAACATGTCATATTGATAGGGGAGGAGGGGGGGAATAGGGTACAGAAGAGAAGGGATGTGGGGGGGAGGGTGGAGGGGGGGATTCGACATACAGTTACATTACAGGTTCGTATTACATTCCCAGCATAGCTTTACAAACCGTTTTGACAGGCATACATTAGTGGTTCGAAGTCATACATGGTACTAGTCCCCAGTGGGCGATGATTACAATACATTCACACATCCATTGACTGTCGCATCTGTAACCAATCCTAGCATTTTTGACAACCAATTTTAGCGTTTCCTGCAGTCATCCTGTAGACCCCTCATGTCTTATCCTGTCTCTGCCTAATGCCCCTTCCTGCCACGCTTTCCTACCCTGCGGCTTTTCCTAATTAAGTCCACCAAGTGGGCTATGTGTGTACTGTCCCCCATGTCTGCGAACGCCACATATGGGGGTCTCTATGCTGTCTTAGTGGTTTTGTGGCACCAGGTGGCCCATAGTATCTTGTTTCCAGGAGCTCCACATCTCCCATGCTCCCCCACAACGCTGCGGTCGTGTGTGTGCAGCAGAATATTGCGTTTCATAAATTAGTTGTTTATCTATGTCTTGTATAATGTGGAGGACGCTCGGGGGTGTGGTAGACTTCCAGGATCTCGCTATTACCCTCTGTGCCGTCAGTAGGATATGATATATTAATTTCTTTGTCGCAACAGGCAAGTCAGGGCTCTAAGGTGATATCGGTTTTGGTAGTTTGGGTTATAAGTTGTCGTACGTCTTTCCAGTACCTCTCCAGTTTAGGACATCTCCACCAAATATGTAGGACTGAACCCAGGTCTCCAGCACATCTCCAGCAAGTCGCGAGCGTGTGGGGGTACAGCCTGTGCAGGTGGGTTGGCACCATATACCACCTATATATTGTTTTTTGGTGTTGTTCAATAAGAGGGGCCGATTTCACTAGTTTCCTCACAGATGTTACTATGTGTTTCCATTTGTTCTCTGTTATGATAACGTTCAGGTCCGCAGACCAGTGTTGTGCCTGGGTAGAGCTATGAAACGACTGGTATGGTTGGATACTTTTGTAGCATTCAGATAGCGGTTTAAATTTAGGTGGGGGTACCCCTGTAATCCCTATTTTTTCCCAAGTCGAGAGTTCTCCACACCCGTCATGTCTTTGTGTCTGTTCTTTGTTGTGTTTGTGTAGAAAGGATTGTAGCTGGATGTGTGAATAGTGGGATGTGGGTGGTATTTTGTAGAGGCGGCATAGTTCCGAGAAGGGCAACAGTTTGCCCGCTTTGTGTATGTGTGCCAGGTGAGTGGCTCCCCTTTCTTTCCATGGTGCTGCATGGAAGGTAGGGATACAATACGTTAGTGCCTCGGTAGGGGTTGCTAGAGATAGTGGACAGTGCGATTCAAAGCCCGATCTGTATAGGTCCCAGGTATTTAATGCTAAGCTAAGTTGTGTTGGCATGGTTGGGGTAGTTGGTCTAGTGGTTTTCCGTAGCCACACTAGATTAGGGACTCGAAGGGGGGCTATAGCTTGATTTTCCATTTGTACCCATTGGGGTTGGCCCTTTATGGTAAGATGTGCTAGCAGCGATGTCAAGATCGCGGCGTGGTGATATGTTTTTGCTCGCGGGAGCCTTTGCTCGCGGGAGCCATTAATACTTTTTGAGAGATTCTCACCCGTCCCGTGCCCCAGGTGAATTGTAACATCTTAGCTTGTATATTTTTGAAATATGAATTTGGTGCTCTCCATGGGAGGTTTCTAAATAGGTATTGGAGTTTTGGCAATATGGTCATTTTAAGTGCTATTATACGCTCCGCCCAAGATAAGAAAAGGTGTCCCCAGCTCTTCAGGATTTCAGAACATTCTTTCCAGACCCCATTATAGTTAGAGGGAAACATATCATTCGGGTTTTTAGTAAATGTTAGGCCCAGGTATTTTAGACTTCCAGTTCTCCATTCAAATGGGTAGTCTCTCCGCAGTCGTGTCAAGACTTGTGAGTCCAGGCGGAGACCTAATGCTTGTGTTTTTGTGGCATTGAGGGAGGCCCACGGATCAATTTTCGCACCGGGGCCCCATGGGTCATGTGTACGCCACTGACTCCAGGGTATCTCATATGGTGCATATTGTGCCTTAACATGCCCCCATTTCTTCACCAATACATGCCAAAGTATGTGGTAAAAAATTATTTTGGGCATTTTTTACATACGGATTACATTTTTGCTGTGCATTTTGTATATTTCATATTTGCCACTAAGTTCAAACCCCCCAAATTATGCTCAGCTAAGTCTTCTGAGTAAAACAATATGCCCAATGTATGACCTAGACACTATTTTGTGAAGTTACAGTGCTGTAAAAGAGACGTGACAAGTTCAGGTTTTTAAGTGTGAATTTTCATGGAGGGTTTTGATGCGTCCGTGTCCCACTTTGGAGCACTTGAGCAGTCTACATATTACAACTACACCATAAAAGCATACCATTTCTTAAAGAACACATGCCAGGGTATTTCAAAAGGCATAATTTGAACCATAGCGTGGGATAATTTTTCCGCTAGCTTGTACCAAGTGTAGTGGTGATAAGCGTTTTTTCTGCCTTTTTGACACACAAAGTGAGTTTGCACAGTATATTTTGCAAATCGTATGTGTGCTACGACTGTATAATACTTCATATGTTGCTCAGCTATGTTGGCTGAGTACAGCAATACCCCCTATGTACCTTTGCCAGGTATATGTGTACATCGGAGGGGCACATTTGAGACGCAGCCATTCAATTTTTTTCTAAATTTGAAGTTTTACGCTGTGTCCATGTTCCATTTTGGAGTAGTTTAGATGGTTGGTTATTGAAACTTCCCCACAAACACATACTATTTATTAAAGAATACACACTGGGGTAATTCAAAAGGTGTATTTTGAACCTTAGCGTGGGATCATTTTTTCTCTCGTTTGTTTCAGGTGTAATGAGCATTTTTAAATGTTTTGTTTTACTTTTTTAAACTTTTTTTACTTTTCAAAACTAGTTTTCAAACAATTTTTTTGCTTATTAATTTTTTTAAACTTTCCTAAACTTTCTTAAAACTTTTTTTTACAGATTTAACATTTGTATAAGCTTTTTTTTTTACCGTTAACCACTAACAAGCAGTTAGCAGCACTAACAGTAAATTCCCCAGTTTCCCATAACTCCCACCCACCCCAGCTAGCAAAATATATCATTTTAAAATATTTAAATTAATTAAATAAATTGAGCCCCTGAGGGTAAAAAAAAAAAAAAAAACAAGTTAACCCTAAAGGGTTAAAAAAACTAAACGGATCACAGTATAATACTGTGATCTGTATTTTGATCACTGTAGGTAATGATCAACTGGCAGGGAAGTACATTTTTATTAGGACTGGGTAAAGGATGGTGGGATTTTTTTTACTTTTTAATAAAAATGTTATTAAAACTTTTTAAAACTTTTTTTTATGTTAACCCCTAGCTAGCCTAACACCAAATTCCCCAATTCCCCACTAACTTCCACCCACTTTAAGTTTTATTGAAATTTCAACATGTCATATTGATAGGGGAGGAGGGGGGGAATAGGGTACAGAAGAGAAGGGATGTGGGGGGGAGGGTGGAGGGGGGGATTCGACATACAGTTACATTACAGGTTCGTATTACATTCCCAGCATAGCTTTACAAACCGTTTTGACAGGCATACATTAGTGGTTCGAAGTCATACATGGTACTAGTCCCCAGTGGGCGATGATTACAATACATTCACACATCCATTGACTGTCGCATCTGTAACCAATCCTAGCATTTTTGACAACCAATTTTAGCGTTTCCTGCAGTCATCCTGTAGACCCCTCATGTCTTATCCTGTCTCTGCCTAATGCCCCTTCCTGCCACGCTTTCCTACCCTGCGGCTTTTCCTAATTAAGTCCACCAAGTGGGCTATGTGTGTACTGTCCCCCATGTCTGCGAACGCCACATATGGGGGTCTCTATGCTGTCTTAGTGGTTTTGTGGCACCAGGTGGCCCATAGTATCTTGTTTCCAGGAGCTCCACATCTCCCATGCTCCCCCACAACGCTGCGGTCGTGTGTGTGCAGCAGAATATTGCGTTTCATAAATTAGTTGTTTATCTATGTCTTGTATAATGTGGAGGACGCTCGGGGGTGTGGTAGACTTCCAGGATCTCGCTATTACCCTCTGTGCCGTCAGTAGGATATGATATATTAATTTCTTTGTCGCAACAGGCAAGTCAGGGCTCTAAGGTGATATCGGTTTTGGTAGTTTGGGTTATAAGTTGTCGTACGTCTTTCCAGTACCTCTCCAGTTTAGGACATCTCCACCAAATATGTAGGACTGAACCCAGGTCTCCAGCACATCTCCAGCAAGTCGCGAGCGTGTGGGGGTACAGCCTGTGCAGGCGGGTTGGCACCATATACCACCTATATATTGTTTTTTGGTGTTGTTCAATAAGAGGGGCCGATTTCACTAGTTTCCTCACAGATGTTACTATGTGTTTCCATTTGTTCTCTGTTATGATAACGTTCAGGTCCGCAGACCAGTGTTGTGCCTGGGTAGAGCTATGAAACGACTGGTATGGTTGGATACTTTTGTAGCATTCAGATAGCGGTTTAAATTTAGGTGGGGGTACCCCTGTAATCCCTATTTTTTCCCAAGTCGAGAGTTCTCCACACCCGTCATGTCTTTGTGTCTGTTCTTTGTTGTGTTTGTGTAGAAAGGATTGTAGCTGGATGTGTGAATAGTGGGATGTGGGTGGTATTTTGTAGAGGCGGCATAGTTCCGAGAAGGGCAACAGTTTGCCCGCTTTGTGTATGTGTGCCAGGTGAGTGGCTCCCCTTTCTTTCCATGGTGCTGCATGGAAGGTAGGGATACAATACGTTAGTGCCTCGGTAGGGGTTGCTAGAGATAGTGGACAGTGCGATTCAAAGCCCGATCTGTATAGGTCCCAGGTATTTAATGCTAAGCTAAGTTGTGTTGGCATGGTTGGGGTAGTTGGTCTAGTGGTTTTCCGTAGCCACACTAGATTAGGGACTCGAAGGGGGGCTATAGCTTGATTTTCCATTTGTACCCATTGGGGTTGGCCCTTTATGGTAAGATGTGCTAGCAGCGATGTCAAGATCGCGGCGTGGTGATATGTTTTTGCTCGCGGGAGCCTTTGCTCGCGGGAGCCATTAATACTTTTTGAGAGATTCTCACCCGTCCCGTGCCCCAGGTGAATTGTAACATCTTAGCTTGTATATTTTTGAAATATGAATTTGGTGCTCTCCATGGGAGGTTTCTAAATAGGTATTGGAGTTTTGGCAATATGGTCATTTTAAGTGCTATTATACGCTCCGCCCAAGATAAGAAAAGGTGTCCCCAGCTCTTCAGGATTTCAGAACATTCTTTCCAGACCCCATTATAGTTAGAGGGAAACATATCATTCGGGTTTTTAGTAAATGTTAGGCCCAGGTATTTTAGACTTCCAGTTCTCCATTCAAATGGGTAGTCTCTCCGCAGTCGTGTCAAGACTTGTGAGTCCAGGCGGAGACCTAATGCTTGTGTTTTTGTGGCATTGAGGGAGTAATAGGACATCGCCCCGTACTCTGTAATGAGCTTCATTATATTAGGTAGGGATTTGTCAGGGTTTGTGACATACAACAAAATGTCGTCCGCAAATGCGCTAATTTTTATTGTCCGCCCATGCCAGTCTACCCCATCTATTGCTTGGTGAGTTCGAATCGCTGCAAGTAATGGCTCTAAAGCTAGCACGTAGAGCATGGGTGACAAGGGACACCCCTGTCTCGTGCCGTTCGTAATTTTGAACGGTGCGGACAAAAACCCGGCCTGCAGGACCTGGGCTGAGGGGTGAGAGTACAAGGCAAATATCTGGGTAATGAATTGATGCGGAAATCCGAACCTTTCTAGCACCCGGCGGAGGAAGGGCCAGCCCAGGCGATCAAAGGCTTTCTCAGCATCTAAAGCCAGTAGTAGACTCCCCGGGCCAGCCCCCCGCATCCTCTCCAATACCAGGGATAGCTTTCTGGTGTTGTCCGTCCCTTGCCTCCCCAGCACAAACCCAGTTTGATCATCATGTATCAGTGTTGGAAGAATTTTACCCATTCTAGTGGCTAATATTTTAGCATAGATCTTAGCATCTGAGTTCAACAGTGAGATGGGTCTAAAATTTTTACACTGATCTGGGGGTTTCCCCGGTTTGGGCAAGGTTACTATTGTGGCTAGGAGCATCTCGGAGAGGAGTTGGCCCGTGTCAGTCGCCGTCCGAAACGTCCGCACCAGCCACGGGCCAAGTATGTCCGCAAATGTTTTGTAGTACAAATTGGACAAACCATCGGCTCCCGGAGATTTTCCCGCGGGCAGCTGTTTGATGGTATCCAGGACTTCATCTACGGTAATTGGTTCAAGTAGTGCGGAGAGCTGGGTCTGGTCCAGCCTCGGGAGGGGGAGCCCTGTCAAATAGGAGCGAATCAAAGCGTCATCTAAGGGGGCCATGCCAGGTTGGTCCCCCAGGTTGTAGAGGCCTGCATAGTAATTTGCGAACTCTTGTGATATCTCCATGGGGTTTTGTATCTTTTTACCCGCAACGGTGTGCAGGTGGGCTATCTTGGACGTTGCCAGTCTCGCCTTTAGGCGGTTGGCTAGATATTTTGTAGCTTTTCCGCTATGGTGATAAGATGTTGCCCTTAACCTTTGTAAAAAATAGGCGGTTTTCGCTGCGTTCAGTTCTGTTAGTTGATTTGTTAGGGTTTGCACCTGTTTGGCCAAAGCCGGAGATGGGTTTAGTTTGTTTTGGGTCGTCGCTACCGCCAGTAGCTTCTGGCATTCTAGTTGGGTTTTTTGTCTACTCTTCTTGAGATATGAGGAACGTCTAATAAAGAGCCCCCGCGCCACAGCTTTGTGTGCGAGCCACACGGTTTGGTCGGACACATCCCCCCCAGAGTTTGCCTGGAAATATTCTTCTAATTCTGCCTTCACCTGTTGTAGGAATGTGCTGTCGCGTAACAGCGATTAATTTAACCGCCAAATCCCCCTCCCCTTAAATTGGAAGGAGTCGAATAGATCCAGGTATACAGGGCTATGGTCCGACCAAGTTATATCACCAATATTACAGGTCGAAACTTGTGCTAGTGTTTGTTGGTCTACATAGAAAGTGTCAATCCGAGTGTAAGTGTGTGTATTTTTAATATTTTATGTTCTATGCTTAGTCAGTCTAGTGCCTGGTAGATAATTAGTTTAAGGCAAAGTAAACTAAATTATCTCCCAGACACAGAAACTCCGGGGAGTGTTCTGGGCGTGTTGTGGGAGTGTTCTACTATGTTTTTGCTTGAGACCCCCCTTCTGGGGGTCTGTGTATAAAAGTGGTATTATAAAACATTCCTGTTGTACCCATCATCAAGTCTTGACTAATGTTTGGGTATGTGACCCATGTACCACTGGATTTCCCCTTGTGCACAATTTGGATTTCTGGAACGGACGAATCAGCGATCCATGCGAACGGGTTATAATCACTATATATTGCATTTCAGGAGCATACCAACGAACGGTTTACGAAATACCAGGCGATTGTTACAATTATTATTAGGATTTATAATTCCATAGGGCTGTTCAGTGGAAAGGGACTATTGTGGAGTGGATAGTGGGATGACGGGGGCTGTAGTAGGCTGAGCCAAAATGTCGCACTTATTTTGGTGAGGTGGTGAACCCACTAATAAATTCACCTTCTATATCCTGGAGTGCTGCCTGTGTTTTTCTTCTTTGGTGGATTCAGCAGTGTCCATCCTATACACCTGGTGGAAGGCCGGAGCATATGTGCAGGACCTGAGTGCACAGTATTCTGTTTTTGGGGGCTGTAGCAGGGTGATAGGGGCTATAGTGGGGTTACAAGGGTTGTAGTGTGGTAACATAAGCTATACTAGGGTGACAGGGGCTGCAGTGGGGTGACAGCCCCACAATACTGGGGTGACGGGGCTGTAGTGGAGGGACAGGAGCTATTGGGGTGACAGGGCTATGGTGAGGTAACAAGGGGTTTATAAAAAATGCTTCCCTCCTTCCTGAGGCTTAGCTTGCACCAGGGAGGGGGGAATCCAGTTCCCTGATGGTCTTGTGGGAAATGCAGCATTGCCTGCACCCAGCTCTTCTGGCCGGCGTTGGGAAATGTAATCCACAGCAATGTGCCAACATAGTACAGGTGAAGGAGAGCCTCCCTCTATTCAGTGCCAGCCTTACATGTGCTGGCCACTGAAATTTCGCCTGTCGGCCTCAGGTACACACCAGGAGAATGGGTTGCCAGTGGGGGAAATACTGCCCTTCTGCCTGCCGGTGGCCTTGTGACAAATCCAGAATTGGTGGCCATGTTATTAGGCATCGGAGAGGCCCCGGTGGGCATTTGACCCCCAGTTTAGTCTGCCCCTGCTTAGAGTGCTGAATGCAAGCACAGAAAATTGCAGATGTCCATTTGGATCACTGCTGGAAAAAGGAGCTCAACTCAGTCTGCTACACATTTTCACCAATTTCAGAATTGGAGAAGATATATGATATTTTAATTATTTGGAATGGCACTGAACAGGGCCGGACTGGCCCACGGGGATACCGGGAAATTTCCTGGTGGGCCGCGGCACCTGGGGGCCGGCCGCGTTCCTGGGCCGGCCCTTTAAATACTGCAGCCGCCCGAGCGCTCTGTTAAGAGCCTCAGGCGGCTGCAGCTTCTCCTCTCCCCTGTAGCGTGGCCGAGCTGCACTCCGGTCCGCGGTGGCCGGCCGGCCAGAGTGATAGGAAGGTGCACACTGAGTGTGCATTTCCTGTCAGTCCGGCCGGTTACAGGAAACAGAAACTCCGCGCGGAACAGGAGTTTCTGTTTTCTGTCACCGGCCTGACTGAGAGGAAGTGCACACTCAGTGTTTACCTTCCTATCACTCCGGCCGGCCGGCCACCGCGGACCGGAGTGCAGCTCGGCCATGCTACAGGGGAGGGGGTAAGAAGAGAGAGGGGGCTAAGAAGAGGGGAGGGAGGGGAGAAGAAGGGGGGGAATAAGAAGAGGAGGAGGGAACAAGAAGAGGGAGGAGGAATAAAAGAGGGTGGTGGGGGAACAAGAAGAGGGAGGAGGGAATAAAAGAGGGAGGGGAACAAGAAGAGGGAGGAGGGGAATAAAAGAGGGGGAATAAGAAGAGGGAGGGGGGGAGTAAGAAGAGGAGATAAGAAAAGAGGGGGGGAAGAAGAAGAAGAGTAAGAAAAGATGGAGAAAGAAGAAGAAGAGGAGGGAGGGGAGAAAGAGGGAAGCAAGAAGAAGAAGAAGAAGGGTAAGTAAGAAAAGAGTGGGGAGTAAGAAGAAGAAGAGTGGGTAAGAAGAAAAAGGAGGAGTAAGAAGAAGAGGGGGGGAGTAAGAAGAAGAAGGGGGGGAGGAAGAAGAAGAAGAAGGGGGAGTAAGAAGAAGGGGGGTAAGAAGAACAGGTGGGGAGTAAGAAGAACAGGTGGGGGAGTAAGAAGAACAGGTGGGGGAGTAAGACGACAAAGGGGGGAAGTATGAAGAACACAGGGAGGAGGGGGGTAAGACGAACACAGGGGGTGTGAGGAGAACACATAGAGGGAGGAGTGAGAAGAGCACAGGGAGGGTGGGTGAGTGTGAGAAGAGACCGCTAGGGAGGGTGGGGGAGAGGAGAGACCACTAAGGTGCAGGGGAGAGCTCTACGGGACAGAAGGGGCAGCTCTATAGGACAGGGGCCAAGACAGGGAGCTCTTTCACACTACGCGCACACACACACACACACACACAATGCATCCCTATACATACACAGAAACACAACATGCTTCCCTACACACAGAGAAACACACAATGCATCCATTACACACACACACACACACAATGCAACCCCACACACAAAGACAATGACCTTTGTAATACACACAGAAACAGACAATGCAAACCCGTGACACACACACAAACACACACACTTTTACATACACACAGAAACACAATGCATCTCTTACACTCCAATGCACACACACATACAGACACACACCCATCCCCTATAGCCACCAACACACAGATTCACACATCACACCTTACACACAACCAGAAAGACATGACAACAATTACAGCAGCCCTCCGACTCACATAATATCCCTTGCGCAACACACACCAAGCCCACTACACACAAACACACTGCATCACCTGCACAAACTGGTAACCCTATACACTACATACCATAAGCACATATATTAGATCCTCTACAATAACACATAACACATCCCCTACACACTCCACTCCCTGTGAGCGAACTCATGGGTGGGTGGAACTTATGAGTGGGCCTTATGGGCATACTCACCGTCAGGCCCTGGGGCCCAGACCCCAAAAAATGGAGCTGCTTCCAATCCTCCCAGAACATTGAATTTTGTGACCACAGTTGCAAACAGCCTCCAGAGATCCTGTTATACACCAGACCAGTGGAGCCAAACTGCAGCCCATCATCATCCTCATCTGCTTGTAAGTAGGCAATCTAGTATATATTAGTGACACTAATCTATAATGTACCTCACATTAAAGGGACACTATAGCTTAATGAAGTGGTTCTGGTGTCTATAGCTGGTCCCTGCAGGCTTTTTAATGTAAACACACACTGTGTGCAGCACTGGCGTTAGTTCATATGGGTGGGGCATTGTGATGTTACATGGGGGGGCAGCAAATTTTTATTTTGTCTAGGGCGGCAAAAATCCTTGCACCGGCTCTGATCCTGGGCAGGTGCACCAGTCTACTGGTGACCCACAGGAGGGGAGTGCACTGATTGCACTGCACTCTCCTCCTGCCCAGCCCCATCTTTACCGCAGTGCAAGTGCCCTCTGCCTTAATTTACAGTGGCTCACACTCACAACAAGCAGTGCCTGGAGCCGTGAAGGAGCGGGTATGGCAAAGAGCTACTGATTAGCATAACATCAATATCCGTTATAAAACCAGGAAAAGGTGGGCATGGATGGTGAACTGATTTGGTGGTGCAATGGGCCACTTGACTGGTTTTGCCCTCCAGGCCTAAGGCTGCCAGCCCTCCCCTGCATGAGGTGCCATGTTGAACTTACAGTGACCAGTATGAGAGTGTGTGAGAGCGATAACACCAAATTTAACACACCTGCTCCCCATTCACACCTGAGACCTTGTAACACTAATGAGTCACATGACGCCGGGGAGGAAAATGGCTTATTGGGCCCAATTTGGACATTTCCTCTTAGGGGTGTACTCACTTTTGTTGCCAACAGTTTAGACTTTATGTGTTGAGTTATTTTAAGGGGACAGCAAATTTACCCTGTTATACAGACTGTACTTACATTGTAGCAGATTGTCATTTATTCAGTGTTGTCACATGAAAAGATATAATAAAATATTTACAAAAATGTGAGGGGTATATTCACTTTTGTGAGATACTGTATTCTATACACAAATACAAACATTGACACAGATGCAGAAACACAGCTACACACTGACATACATGCACATACAGATACAACACTGCCACACATGCAATACACAGACATACAGATACAAAAAATGACACACATACAGATGTACAGACAGGCAGATACCCACACAGGCATTCAGATACAAACAATGACACACATATGGATGTATAGACACACTGCCACACTTGCAGATACACAGACACACATGCAAACACTGACACACATACAGTTGCACAGACACACTGATATATACCCTGACACACATGTAGATACACAGATATAATCACTGACACACATACAGATACTGATACACAGATACAAACATTGACACACACAGACTCACATACAGATGCACACACTAACACACATACAGATGTACAGATACACTGACACACAAAGATGTACAGATGCAAACAATGACACTCTCACAAATAGAGACATACAGATACACATAAGCAATTTTCATTTGCATAACCAATGGGCACTGGATTTTACCCATGGGCGCACCCATACCATGGGTTGGGAACCCT